CAGCATGAAGATTAAATCATGTGCTAGAGTTCCTTGGACCAGCAGAATGGCCATCTTCTCTTATGAACAAGATAAAGAAACCCACATTGTGCCTACGTGTTACCATGTGAATTTGTTGTGTTACTCTTTCCTAAAATTCTGCTATTCCACTTTAATGTTGATTGCTCGCTTACTTTTGAAATCATCAATCAACAAATAAGTAAGGCTGGATGTTTGTTGCCCTGCCATGTGCCTGTCTGGTTTGTGATGTACAAGTATCTGTCCGTGTGGTCCCAGTCAATTCAACAATTTTAGTATATGGCCTGCAACTGGTATAGTATACTAAGTATTAGCATTACAAACAGGCTGTGTCTTGGTGTATCCACGGAAAATTGCCCTGCAATGCATCCCTTCGGCCTCATCCATCAGATGGGGATCAAAACTGATCGATTGTCTGATGTTGGTGGCCATTCTCAATTTTAATGCTTTTGTTATTGGAAGTTTCTGTAGAAAATTTTCAGTAAAACTAATATTGAAACCTGGAAAACGGCTGTTGTAAATGTGGTGAAAAGTCTTTGTTGTTAATGCATTTGATCATTGATGCCAATACAGAAAACAGGTTTCTGAGAGATTGGTTTCAATTTTCCTTGGAGATAATCGAAAAAACATCCTTGGGGAGGGTAGTTTTTGATGGAAAATTTCCTAGAAAGCCAATTTTAAATGAAGTTTGAGCTTGGAATAGGGAGATATCAAAATGGACACAGCTTGAAGGCTTAGTTCGGGAAAATAGGCCTAAAGACAGGGAATAAAATTAATTTCCTGGCACTGCAGCTGCATGAGACACTTCTGCTGGCATTGTGCACTATTGTTTTGGTTTGCCTGCAACGGAAAATGTCACACAATTGATTATATGCTTGAATTTGCCTACTCTCTAGAAAAAGTGTCTTAAAATAGAACTAAATTGAAGACTTTAACTTTCTATATGATTAATTCCCATTCAATTTTGAAAAAACAAAAACCACCTCACAGTTTTCATGCATTCATAAGTTTTCAGTTATTGTTGGATAAACAGTCCGAGTGCTAATAATTCTTGTGTGAATTACCAGCTGTGACAGGAAAGGGATTCATTGCAAAGGGCATACGGTTCATCAACTCAGCAGGTGCAGCAAAGCACCAAGCAGTGGCCATGCGGTCTGGTTCCGATCGCTCGGTATTCTACCAATGCGCATTTGATGCCTTTCAGGACACTCTTTATGCCCATTCCAATCGTCAGTTTTACCGGGAATGTGACATTTTGGGCACAATTGACTTCATTTTTGGCAACGCAGCCGTTATGTTCCAAAACTGCAACATCCAGCCAAGGCAACCCTTGGCTAACCAGTTCAATACCATCACAGCACAAGGCAAAAAGGACCCTAACCAAAACTCTGGCATTTCTATACAGAAGTGTACTCTTTCTGCATTTGACAACCTTACTGCTAATACCTACCTTGGCAGGCCCTGGAAAGAATACTCCACTACTGTTATCATGCAGTCTGAAATCGGGGCGTTCTTGAACCCATTGGGCTGGAAAGAATGGGTTGCCAATGTTGACCCACCTAGCTCAATTTTCTATGCGGAGTATAAAAACAGTGGACCTGGATCAAACGTGGATCAAAGGGTGAAATGGGGAGGGTACAGGGCCACTCTCTCAGATGTTGACGCTGGGAAGTTCACGGTGGGAACTTTCATACAAGGCGACGAGTGGTTGCCTGGTGCCACTGTCTCGTATCAACCAGCGTTATGATCTGATAATAGATTCAAAAAAGGTAGGGTTGAGATAAGGTCAAAGATCCAAAAGTTGAGATAATGGCTTTTTTTTTTTTGTGTTTTATTTTGACATTAAAATTTGTTTGTAGAACTCTATATAACTCAAATGTATTACACTCTCCATGTCTATGCTGTCTCTATTCTTTAGCAATCTCGCTGTAACCCAAAAAAGAAAAAGACAAAATTACATGTGGAGGTTCATTAATTTTCAATATGAAAAATAAACAAGAAAAATTGAACACAGCCTTGTTGTGATAACGATACATGGCTGGATGAGACAGCTGAGTCACCAGCCTTTATACTAGCAATTGTCCTAGTTTTATATGAAAATGAATTTTGAACAAATGTTTGGGCCCCCAAAAACTGCAAACTCCATCGACTCTTAACATAACCAGGTGAATAATCAATCCATTAAAGTTTTATTAGATGTTTAATTGGAGAACAGGATAAAACTTGCCAAAACCAAATGCCCACGTATCCAACTTTTTCTGTATAAAATTTTAATAAAGCAGAATGAGGGTTGTGGTTTATGGCTGAGGTGAGAGGTGGAGTGACGGAGTGAAATTCCTCCCTGGGATGCATCTTGGCCGCGAAGGAGTGGAATGCCTATGCCAAACCAATATATTCTTAAAGAAGGCTGCAAACTGATGTAATGGTCCTTCAAGAGAAAGTAGTTTTTTATTCATTTGGTCTTATCTTTTGTTTTTTGTTTAATAAACACAGACTTATCTTTTTATGCATCTGCCAAGCTGAGACATCCTAATCCATTTCAAGAAAGAAGAAGCTTTTCCGTTTAACAGAGATATTTAACGTTGGCTAAGATTTCATTTATTTGTTTCAAAGGTGCAATATCAGATTATGAGGCCTGACTAAAGAATGCATATTCAGGCAAACAAATAAAAAACTCTCCTAAAGAAGTATGTTAGTTATTCACTTTGTTTTTATCTAGTTTCGTAGTATTAATGTTTTTATTAATTAAGAGACTTTTATCTTCTTATAGATCTGACAATCCAATATATCAGATTGTCAAAGCTAAAGATGTTAGGCATGTCAAGTGTCAAGATTTACCACTTGGGCGAAAGGTCTTTGCATTTGTTGAATGCCATAACATAAATGATTAGGAAGAAATTGATTCCATCCAGATGTTTACAGATTTTTCCTATCTGTATTATTATGGACTTGTCAAAAAGGTCGCCTGACAACGTTTCCCTCTGACCATTCTATTCTACACACAAGAATAACTTGGCTGCTGAGCCATTTGTCTTTGACAATTCTATTCTACCAAAAGAATTGATTGGCTCAGCTGTCAACAAGCTCGTTCATTTCATTTCATTTCATTGAAATTTGTTCTAGATTTCCTTGATTCCACACCAAAAATTCAAGGACTGTCTCTCCACAAAGCCAAGGATTGTGCCCAGTAAAAATGGAATCATACCTTGCCTGCCTTGTATGCTTATGCTAACTCCATAACATAGACCTCAAGCATGCCCAAAAACGAAAGTCCAAATTCATGAATGATGTGATGTAAGCCAAAGGCAGCCTTCATGTGTTTTTAAAGTCCATGTTGGGAGAAGGGAAGTTGTAACCAAACTCTATTTGATTTAAATACTATACAACGACCAATATTAATCTGCAAACTTTGTATTATGTCCTCTCAGTTCTCATTTATTTTGGTCAAGTGGATGCAATGGTAACATGCAAACGCAAGCAAGAAATAAAAAATTTGAACACTAACTGACCCCAAACCTTCTTACAATAGCCCTTATAAAAACACATAATAAAGCACACAAATTTTAGGATTATTGAGTAGGTAAGCCAATAGGGGTTCGTGAATCAATGGTAATAGAAATAAAAAAAATAAATAACAAAGGACGAAAAAGGTTGGCATGGCACTTAAGATCTGTGTCACTGTGTGCTAAGTCCATGAAGCACATGGTAAATCCAGGAAAAAAATATGAAAAGAAGCACATGGTAATGTCAAAACTTGCATAGTAAAAGTAAATAATTAATTCTGGAGAAATGTAAATAAGTTATTATAATTTTATTATATTTAATTAATTTTTTATATTTTTATTTTTAATTAAATAAATTTTTATAATTAATATTTATTTAATAAAAATATTTATTATTATTTTATATACATGACATATCATAATTAATATCATATAATATATTAATTTCATATATAAATTTTATTATGTGATATTTTTAATTTTTTATATTAATATCATATTAATATTATATAAATATAAAATAATAAATAATATTTTTATTAATAATAATTAATTATTAATTATAAAAATTTATTAAATTTAAAATAAAAATATAAAAATTTAATTAAATATAATAAAAATTATTTATTTTTTTTAAAATAATTCACTGAGTTATTAGAATATTTTACGGAGGGAAGGAAAAGAGAACAAACGTGACAGCTGAGGTGATTGTTAGGTTAATTCTTCAGGGAGATGCGAAAATCTCAAACCGTGGGCGCCAAGTGAAAGTGACTCCAACTGGAAGTCAGTTTCGATTCTTTCGACGAAAAAAGGTCTTTAATTGCTCGAAAAAGGACAGCCTAAAAGTCTCTGCTGTCTCGCTTCCCTCTATTGCCAAAAACCCGCCTGTTTCGTTCCCCTCTATCTCTCTCTCTCTCTCTCTCTGTTTTT